TTGTAGAGAGAGAGAGAGAGAGAGAGAGGGAGAGAAAGAGTTAAAATGATAAAAATTTTTATTATTCTTGAAATTAATTTTTGGTACAATGTAACAGAGTTACAAATTTCTCTTTTTTTCCCACCACAAATTTGGGTAATTAAATTTTTTTTTTGGGTAATTAAATTTTAGATAAGTGAAATTAATACTAGCATACCATAATCATTACAAATTATAAAACATGAGTTTAAAATATTAAGCTTTAAATAAGGCTAAAATTAAAAAAAACTAAAATTGAAATTAAAATTAAAATTAAATCAAAATTAAAATTAAAAAGCTAAAACTAAAATTAAATTAAGCTTTAAATTAAGCATTAAGCTTTAAGCTTTAAAATATTAGCACAAAATAAATTCTAAGGATAATAATATGAAAAATAGAAGAAAGGAAAAAGTATCCTTCAGCTATCTGTATGACTTATATATACATCCTTCATGAATTATTTTTACCTTTATAAGGATATTAGCCATTTTTGTTAGCTCATAATGCTATTGATAAAACACTTTTTGTTAGCATACAATTAAACAAAGAGCACATATGCAAATTTTATACGGTTAATAACGCCTAACTTATATGCAAAAGAATTTTTAGTTAATTTTTAAATCTTAATCATGATCTATCCAACTTGATACATACAAATTAGCATATCATAACCTTATTAAATATTTTTATTTGCGATAGATTAATCCGAGGAAGTATTATCTATCGATCGATAATTGAATAACAACCAATCTTTTTGAGAGATTTTTATTGATAGAGGTTGAATTTACCTCTTTTTCAATTTCATTTTTAACTTTAAATGAAATAATTTACCGTATTGAAAAGCTAATTACTATATTACATTATCTTTTCCAGTTCAACTACTTCTGAGGAGGAGAAAATAAATGATCCAGGTACAGCAATAATAGAATATGGTAGGCAACAAAATCGCACAACGATTGTTCCATCTCAAAAATCAATAATCAATTCGGAAACTGAAAATGGAGAAAGTAAACGGAAAAAGGTTGAATTTTTTTTTTTTTGGTAATTTAAAAGTTTAGTATTATTTGAATGTATTAGTTTGGAAATTTTGTAGTATAGTATAATTATATCAAGTATAATTATTTACAGTATCTACGAAATATGATTAGTCCAACGGATGATTTACCTCATGGTTCCATTGATTCAGTAAAGATGAGAAATCCGAAAATATTTGAAGTGTCATCGGAAGTTTCGAAAAAGACAACCGGTGTACAAACGGATGAAACATTCGGGATGAATGGTAATGCTCATATCGATAACAGAGGATAAATTAGTGTATTTAAACTTCACTTCTTTGAATTACTAGGTTATTCTGGACTCATCTTCCAGAATTTAATTGTGAAGATATAATTTCAATAACCTTGTGCTTTATACTTTGGCTAAGTTTTGTCCTGAACTTTACCGAATATTTCAGACTTGCAAATAGCTTTCAGGAGACTTACAATCGATATCAAAACCCGTCCGTATTACTCAGCTTGTGCCGATAACAGTTATGCCGAAGGGACGATTAAAGCGTCCTGTTCGATCAATTCGCAGCAGGACTGACTCAATTTAAATTTTTTCTGAAATCCCGTGCCTTAATGTCTAAAACGCACTATGGTTTTTCCTTACAAAATATTTCAATCACGGGTATTTGTCAAACCAAAAATGCGGATAATCTGCATGATGTCTACCTCTCATATTTGTGAGCACTGTAAAAAACAATTTAGGTAGAAAGTTATGCGGAAATTATCCACCAACATTCTTCTCTTGGAATTTAGAATAGCCTTTAGATTTGATCTCATACTTCCTTTGTCAAATATTCCATAAGTGGTGCACTTGTGGACCTAACGACCCACAGAGTTCAGCTACCTCTCTAAGGATAACTTCACGCCTCTAAATTTCAACAGTGAACTTTCTAACAAAAGATATCAGTATAAACCAACATTTCTCTGAACTGAAACTCAATGCAGTATTATCCAATTGCAATAACTCAATGAATGGAAAACATACCCCCTCCTCCACCCTTTCTATAATTTCGCTTGACTTGAAAAATGAATTCTAATCATGCATTACGGCCAATCCTTCCATACAGCCAGCTCATTCTTTTTGAAATGTGATTTGTGAGTTTCTAATACTTGTGCCTTGCAGGATAGGTTCTACTTCCAAATGATGCTTGTGTGAAATTTTACCATTGAAGTGAAAAGTAGAAAAATAAACAAATTTGCGACTCAAAACAGCAACAGTACAAGCATACAAAATACGCTTTATGAGAAGTCATTTAGTCGAAAAGACCAAAACCCATATCATCATCTGACTCCTCTTTTGGCTCTTCCTTCTTCTTATCCTCTTTCTTCTCTTCAGGTGCTGCAGCAGGTGCTACTGCTGCTGCTGCAGAAGGTGCTGCTGCTCCTGTTGCTGCACCACCAGCACTACCAATACTTGAACTGATGTTAGTTATCAATGACTGAAAATATCACAGTGCATAATGACAACAAAATCTAGGAATTTTGACAACGTAAATCAGGAATCCCTGGGCTGTTTTTTTTAAAAAAAAAAACAAAGATATAATCTCACCTGGCCCCGCTGCTCTCATAAAACGCAAAATTTTCATTGAAAAACAACGACTTCCACGACCACTCCTCTCCCTCTTGAAAATTAAAACGGTAATAACAAAAACCACAAACTACCATACGTACCTTCACGTCAATTCCATCCAGAGCTTTAGCAAACAATCCTGGCCAGAATGGTTCCACATCAACATGTGCAGCCTTCAAGATCGTTGAGATCTTATCACCAGTAATTGCAACTTCATCATCTTGCAAAATAAGTGCTGCATAAACGCATGCCAGTTCCTGATTTGCCATTTTCCCTCTTTAGCAAGTGCACGTCGCTATCAAGCCTTAGCTCTATTTGAGAACAATGCACTATGTCTGAAGTAACATTCAAAGAAAAACTCATTTAAATCGATAATCTATTTTCCTCTATTTTACTGAAATTCGAAAATTCCGAAAAAAAAAGGAAAACTCCACTCATCAGATGCAGGCCCATATTTTCTAAAATATGAGTATTCCTAATACCTGACCACGTAAAACCGCAAGAGCGGCTGACCACGTTAAAGGATCGGCACCCTAATTTTCAATTTCAAGAATGAACTGCAAACATTTAAATCTATTTCATCCTACCAAACTTAAACATATAATTAACAGTGATAAATAAAAGTATGTCGAATAAACGACTAATTCCGACAACCGTTTTCAAATAATAATATTTAATCTTATTGAAACAATAACAAATACAGAGCGAAAAGGCATTAAAATTTTCATGCGACCAATACACATGCACCGCCTACTGCCTTGATTTTCTGTTCAGCAGAATGTGAGAAATATTTCGCTTTAACTATAACGGGCTGTTTCGGCAAAAGACCTTTGCCAAGAACTTTGAAATAACCAGCTCGAACTACATCAATTACTGGTGCCTTATCTTTCCTTTCCGCATAAACTTTCCGCAAATTCTCCGATACCAGTGACCACAGCTTATCAACGTTCACCGTCGGGCAGTACAATCGATTACGTCTCACATGATAATTTCGCATACCAACCTAAAAGAATTATTTAATGTATCACAAATAATATTAAAATATGCAAAAAATATGATCTATAAGCAGATGATCTGTATTACCACCCAGTCATTCCTAAATTTCCGGTGCAAGCATTTAACCCGTCATGTATAATCCATTCGATAATTATTTGCGTCTCAACTGTTAGAAGTTCGAATAAAGTCTGCTTATTTCTCAAACAAGACCAAAACAAAATATGAAAAAGGAAAAAGAAAAAGTTGTAGGTGGAAAAGAGAAAACTGTCCCCATCTTCCTCAAACAAAAGGATTGTCATGGAGAAGTGGAATGTAAATCTTAACAGCACGAAAGAAGATGATAAAATACTCTGCAAAAATAAGCAATAATGAAACCTTTCCAAAATAACCCGGATGGTATTTGTCGAAGTTGATGCGGTGATGATGTTGTCCACCGGCATTACCTCTACCACCTGGATGTTTACGATGTTTCCCAATACGTCCGTGTCCGTGCGATACATGACCTCTTAGTTTCCTTGTCTTCTTCTTTGATGTGGCCATCTAAATCTTGCAAAAGAAAAATAAGTTACCAAAGAATCGATTTCACTCCTTTGCAGATTACTTCAAGCTTGACCAAAAAGCTGCTAATACTGATGCTTTTATTAATGAGCAGATTGCATAAAATAATAGGAGGATAAAGTTACATAATGCATAATTCCTGGGACATTTAGGCCCACACGTACGATGTTAGGACATAACATGCGAAGGTAAGAAGCCAAATAAGGTACCATAAATGGTGAACCTAAAATGCAAGTCAGGCAAGAGGTACAATTCCAGCGCTACACCTGAGATAACCCATCCACTGCCTAATTTAACATCCCAAAAACCAATGCATTGCACCGTTTCAGACCAGAAATATGAAAATGAAATCCCAGGCTAAAAAAGTATTTGGTTGTCTCTACGTACATTCGTTCTGACCTATGCTTGGCTAAGTAAAACGATTGGATGGACTTTTCCGAGAAATTCTTTTTATTTGTTTAAAATCTCAACTGATAATATATGATAACAATATATTAAAGTGTATTTGAATGTGTATGTAAAACATCTCGCAGATGACCTTTAGTCACAATACGGCTAAGCTCTCATGATGAAGGTCATTGTCTAGATTGGCTTCTCAGAAAGTTTTATTACATACCACTATCAGTATTAGCAGTTTTAACATGAATAAAATGAATTCTCTCTGTTAGGGCTAATTTATCCATTCCTTTCGATGAACCTTTCTGCAAGCGATTTTTCTACTCTCTAGTGAGTAGAAGTCACCGGTTGGATATTTCTTACCTTAACTATTAGAAGACTATCAAATCTTAACTATTGATGATTTGCATAGAATCACTCAACCTCAAATTGTCGTATTTTCCGAAAATCATCCATTTATTTCTCTCTGTGAAGAATCCCCAAACACCTGCCATTGTATTTTTAGGGGTACTTTTTCTCTCTCTCTTTCTGGAGCACATCATTGTTTTCGATTGCTTTATCTGTTATGCAATCATTCAAGTCATTTTGATCTTTATGATGCTTACAAAGTTTTTACACTCACAATTGGCAGCTTGGCATTTGACTTTAAACCTAAAATAACATATATAATTTCTCCTCATCAATTACCAGACAAAAATAGCTTTTTTATGAAACGGGTAGTATCTTTCCGGTTTATATTAGTTGTTTACTTTCATATATGCTAGTTCATTAGATAGTAAAAGATGGAAAGACCAGAAAGATCAGAGACGCTGTGGTTTGAGAATTATCATTGTATATTTTTAATTGTTAAAAGTATTATAAGTCATAATTTTCTGTTGTTAACTGAGTTAGGTCTTTTCAGGTGAACCAGATTGCATCACTCATGATTTCAATTAATGATAATTAGCTTTTGTTGTAGAGAAGGAAAAAAAAAGAAAAATGGCAGCAGTGGGAGAGAAATTGATGAAGCGTTTAATCCAACTTGGAGCTACGGTGGCTATTGGTGCCGGAGTGGTATCGAAGGCGTTGTATAATGGTTTGTTTTTTTTTGGCTTTACATGCTTCATTAGTGTTTTGTCAGTGGGCAGCTAAGAAATAGAGTACTAAATTCTACTGCTTTGTGGTGGAAATAAATGTTAAGTACTGAATGGTGGTAATCTTATAATCAAGCGACTAACTAAATAGTCGAACATTAATTTACGCTCATGTTTAGGCGGATAATACACTTTGTGTTCAATAAAATCATCTCTTAGGCATCAGTACTATTGACGACTGCATAAATTCATTGCTTAATTAAAAGTTTAGCAAATTTTAGGAACTTAGTTCGAAAGCTTCATTTATTCAAGCACTTTTTTGTATCAGTGATTAATATTTCAAATAAAATACTTCAATATATAAATAATAATGTTTCAAATAAAATTCAATGTAATATTTCAATTAAATTCTCAAGGAATGGAATATTAAACAGGCAAATGTTGAGAAATCAATGAGTTAAAAAGGATAAAGAAAACAGTAAAAAGTTAGAAGCATTAGTTTGTTTCTCTATTTACTGAGGGTGGTGCAGCTATCACATATAAAGGTTTTGAAATATAAGTGGTGTTTTTCAAGAATAACTCAATAGGTTTTTGTGAGAATTTAAGAAATAAAAAATCATAAATAAATCCTCTGTTATTACAGTCGATGGTGGACAACGAGCTGTAATCTTCGATCGCTTTACTGGAGTAAAACCTAACGTTCTCGGTGAAGGGACACATATGCTGATTCCAGGAATCCAAAAACCAATTATTTTTGATATTCGTTCAACCCCACGAGTTGTCTCCACGATTACAGGAAGTAAAGGTAGAGTGTTTTTTCTTTTTCTTTTTCTCAGAAGAAGGCTTTAGGAATTTCAAAATAAATTTGAAAAAATAAAGAGCACTCAAAAGGAATGAATAAATTCTTGTGGTAGTACGGGAGTTTCTAATAGTATGTAAATTTTTTCCATTACTATTAGAAACTTTCAGACAACTTTGAGGGTTATTCATTCCTTATAAGAATGGAAGGTGTTATCAATTTTATTTTAGATCTGCAAAATGTGCAAATAACATTGAGGATTTTGCATCGACCCGAACCGAGCAAGTTACCAAATATATATTTGAACATTGGACGTGACTATGCAGAGAGAGTACTACCTTCAATTACAAATGAAGTTTTAAAAGCTGTCGTTGTAAGTAATGTTTTTAAAGCATTAGCGCTATTTTTGTTTGTTATTGTTGAACGTTGAAGACGCAATTTGTTTTTCAACAAAATAACAGCATAAAAACTAATTACTTTTATAAGTGAGTTTCCCAAAAGGTACTGGAATATTCCCTCCAATCAGACTTGTTAAATCTTCCGCATTTGGCCTGCTGCCATATGTGCTGTTATTATTGCGCTAAGATTATTTGCCAGAATATATTAGTTTTTCGCTTATTATCATTTTTTCATCTTAAAAATACATAATTTTTCTCTACTTCTTCCGAGGAAATTTGCTTTTAAAAATCATGCCATCATTGAAACATTCATGTTCAATTTCAGGCTCAGTTCGATGCACATGAAATGATCACACAACGAGAAAGTGTCAGTCATAGAGTTTCGCTTGAATTATCGGAAAGAGCCAAACAGTTCGGCATTTTATTAGATGACATTGCCATTGTGAGTCTGATGAAGTTTTTTTATATAATATGAAATTCACTAGTCGTAATAACAGAAGGTTAGTGATCGGTCGATGCCAGAGAATGCAAGTTTATTCCTTCATTCTGCATACAACAGCAAAAGCACAGTGGTATCCACCATTCTGCCATTACTGAGTGTTACAGTAAAATAACTGATCGGAAAGTCCTATCAATAGCACAACGATTATGTAGTTTTCTATGCTTCAGAATTCAGTTGTAGTTTCTGTACGTTTCATAGTTTCTAAAATCCATAAAAATTTTTCAGACGCATTTATCTTTTGGACGGGAATTTACAGAGGCTGTAGAGATGAAACAGGTGGCACAGCAAGAAGCTGAAAAAGCTCGTTATCTCGTCGAAACAGCAGAACAGATGAAAATTGCAGCTGTAACAACTGCAGAAGGTGATGCACAGGCTGCCAAACTTCTAGCTCAGGTAAGGAATTTATGTGTTTGTATATTAATTATGTATGCATTTTTCTTATATATTTCGTTGCGAGACATCCCAGCGCAGTGACTTTGATTTTTATGAGATTCACATCTAGTAACAGCAGTTTTGAAAGGTTTAAAATTCCCATAATAACACAAATTGGCTCTTGGAAACTGTTCCCAAACAGTTATTTGTTCTCATGTTTTGACAAGAATGCTATGATTTAGTGAATTATGGATGGTATTAATGATATTGTTACAGGCATTCAAAGAAGCTGGTGATGGCTTAATCGAACTACGGAAAATTGAAGCTGCGGAAGAAATAGCCGAAAGGATGGCGAAGTCCCGAAATGTTGTGTATTTGCCGAATAACCAGAATGTACTCATGAATATACCAGCAATATAGCAAAATTAAATTTTCTTTGTTTAAGTGGTATTTCGTAACTAGTATATCATGCAGATTATTCAACTTTTTATTCCTTCTGGTATTAGTACTATTAGTGCTACGGTTCTTGTACTTGATTTTATTTTGTTACTGTTGTTATGAATTTGTTATGTTCCTACTTTCTTATTTTGCATAGTTTTATAAAATTTTTGCATTTTGCTTTATTTTTCAATACTTAGAGCGGTTAATTAACTGCTGATATATTTTATATTTTGAAACCTTTTATTGAATTGGTGTTTCAGATGCACTGAAATCGAATCTTAACCTGATTTATATCAATGCCTATGTTGCGTCCGGAATAGGCACAAGATTATGCGAAAATAAAACCAATTTATCTAAACTAAAAAGGAATATGTAAAATATTTCGTCCTGTCATATTGAAGTTGTTGTTATGATATTGCAAGCTGATTAGGATTCATTCCACTTAGTTCGTGCTTTTCGATGCAGAGCTGAGAAATTTTTTGGATTGATAGATATGTGGGAGTAGTAAGGGAAAAACTAAATCGTGTTCCTTGAATATTTTGAATTTGGAAAGGAATTTGAAAGAATATGATTATTATCGTATTATAAATGTTATTTATTCATGCGCTTCCAGGAAAAACAATTTGGATTTGTGAAAAGCAAAATGCCCTTGTCTTGTCGATTTTATGCAAATCAATTTCCGGATGTGGAGGATACGGTTATGGTAAATATACGCCAAATCGCTGAGATGGGCGCATACGTATCGCTATTGGAATATAATAATATAGGTATATTCCAAAATAATATCAGTATTATTTGCTTTTTGGTATTTTCTACAAAATTCAAGTGTATAATGAGGGGAATTTGACGATGCAACGATGGATCACGAATCGTTTAAACCTATTGTATTATTGTAAGTAACTGCTGAAGCGTTATTGTCTAACTATGGCGAAGCATCGAAGATAGTAATAGTAATATCAAGATATTTCTAAATTCTGCACTACACCTACTTATTTAAGTATTTTAATTAGTTAATGTCAATATATTGCAGAAGGTATGATATTGCTATCAGAGCTTTCACGTCGACGTATCCGTTCAGTAAATAAGTTAATCCGAGTTGGTCGAAATGAGTGTGTTGTTGTTATACGTGTTGATAAGGAGAAAGGTTATATTGATTTATCGAAGAGACGAGTTTATTCGAAGGATTCGATACAATGTGAGGAGCGGTTCGCTAAAGCTAAAGCTGTCAATAGGTAAGTGACCCAATTGGTGAAATTGTTGTTTAATTTCCTAGTTTTTACTTAAGCTTCTCGATACATTGTAAGTGAACTGTCTGGTGAAAGTAGCCTTGCACAAATTCTGTTGTCTTAATGAATGATATTGAACGGCAGAGGTGTTTTCTTATATTAATCATCGGAATTGCTTGACCCTAAAGTCCATCCTTTTTCGGATCCATTAAGATGCTAGCATACGTTGATCTGTGGTGTTTTATCGATGTGCTTTCTTGGTTTGCTGGTTTACAGTATTAATAATTTAATAATAAATTGCAGCATTCTTTCTCTTATGTCGGAAGGATTGGTACTGTCAGCTTTCTAAAGTTTTTAAAAATTGATGAAATATAATAAAAATTGCATTACTTATTTTTCTCTAACCCTAATTTTTGATTATAATGATGATGATGGACCTAATTTTTGATTATATAAGTTAAACAATATCCGCTAATTTCACAATTTTAGTATCCTTCGGCATGTAGCCGACCAATTGGGTTATGATTCCGAAGAGCAACTGGAAGAGCTATATGATAAAACAGCATGGTATTTCGACAGAAAATTGAAGAGAAAAGGAGCGGCGTTTGATATTTTTAAGAAAGCTATCACTGATCCAACTGCTCTAGATGAATGCGATATAACGCCGGATATTCGTAAAAAGCTTTTGATAGATATTAAGTAAGTTGTTTAAGTTTATATATATATATATATATATATATATATATATATATATATAT